GAAGTCAGCTTTGTACCAGGAGACAAGGTGTGGTTGTATAATCCCAGGAAAGCCAAAGGGAAGTCTTCTAAGTTGTCTTCTCCATGGGAAGGCTCATATGACATAGTGGATCGTTTCTCAGACGTGACTTTCCGAATAAATTTGGTTGGCGAGGTAAGCCAAAGGTGGTGCATGCCAACAGGCTTTGGTGTTATCATGGTCCAGGACATTTCAGCTGGAATGAAGTGAACAATGGAACAAATGATGCTCCTGAAGATGTGTCACCTGAAAAAGCCACTGTCGAAGAAGAAACTCTACCTGGTTTTGAGAAGGGAAACAGTGAAGCCCTTGATGAAGTTACTATCATTGATGTGACTGTTACTGATAATAGGACATTTCTAGATGGAGAAGATGAACCCCACGTGAAGCAGAAGCCAATGAGACGGAGACCAGTACTGAAGAAGATACGTCCTGTAAAATTAAGAGACTTTGTTGAATTTTAATTTTGTATTTGTAAATTCTGTACATTTAATTAAGTTACTGTTAATTATCTATTGCTTTAATGTAAGTGGCAATTGTTCGGGATGAACAATACTAAGGAAGGGGCAGTGTTATGACAGCAGAAGTCACGTGATTCTGGTAACACGTCATGAGATTCTCGAAGGATCTTGACTTTTCTTGGCAACTCTAGTATGTTCTAGGCGCTCTCTTTTTTTATATATAAGCCCGGCAAATAAAGCAGAGAGATATAGAGACAGATAATTGAGTCAAGCAAGTGGTAATGACCGTAACTAACGTGCATGAATTGTTGTGAATCATAGCATGTGTTTAAGTTAAAGTGACTGTACAAATTCTTTGTATTGCAAAGTTGTATTGAGAAAGAATAAACTAGTTTTATTTAAGAAAGGACTTGTATCACTGAAGTTCCTCGGGAAGAATTTAGACCAGAAATTAACAAACGACAAGAGATGTAACAATATATACAAAAAACCTGTGCACTTGTATCTATTGTTATGTAGCAGGCATTAGACCTGGAATGGACACAAAGATTTATGATTTATAAGGGTAATACACATATAGCTGAATTGTAACAAACTTATTTGTAATTTAACAAAAAAAAATTAAACTGTTTCATTTTCACAATACATTAAAACACGTAATTTATATAAAGAAAAATCAAAATTTATATTAAACCTATCCTTATTGGCACACTACTTACATAATTTATGTAAACAATTATGTAAACCATAGAAATATTGTAACTGTCAAACACAAATCTTAAACAGTAATCCCCTAACTAAATTAAAAATATATGTATAAAATTGAAATTCTGGTACA